GTATGTATGCATGTGTGTGTGTGTGTAAATGTGTGTGTGTGTGTGTGTGTGTGTGTGTGTGTGTGTGTGTGTGTGTGTGTGTGTGCACTCTCTGTGTATACATGTATATATATATATATATATATATATATATATATATATATATATATATATATATATATATAGATAGATAGATAGATAGATAGATAAACAGACAGATAGATACATACATACATACGTACATACATATATACATGTGTATATATATATATATATATATATATATATATATATATATATATATAGAGAGAGAGAGAGAGAGAGAGAGAGAGAGAGAGAGAGAGAGAGAGAGAGAGAGAGAAAGAGAGAGAGAGAGAGAGAGAGAATTTATGATTACATATACAATATACAAACATACAGCACATATATAATTCATGTATACATATGTATACATACATACATACAGCATATATATAATTCATGTATACATATGTATACATACATACATACATACAGCATATATATAATTCATGTATACATATATATAGGTAAACACATGTATGTGTGTGTATATATATATATATATATATATATATATATATATATATATATATATATATATATATATATATGTATATATATATGTGTGTGTGTGTGTGTGTATTTATAAATTCTGTATGTGCCATCACCGATGCGGTGTTTGACGCCGTCAGTTTTGTCCAAGAGGCATCGAAGTGTTTGTATATTGATATTGTCGAGGAATGTTTTTCTCTGTCTACCTGGAGCTTGTTTGTCTTCAATTTTACCGCTTACGTTAAACTCTAATGTGATTGCATGTCTGATGAATTTAGGTGCCGTACTCGGATCAATTCTAGAAGCTTGCGTGCCTGTCCGACTCTTCTGAGGATCTCGTAGGGCACTCGGTCGGTGTAAGGCGCGCAACATCCTGCGGTAGAACCACATTGCAGCCTCAGTATTGCGCCGAGTTTCTGCCGTCAGTCTCCAGGACTCGCAACCATATGAGAGAGTCGACCATATAAAGGTAGGAAATGCATCTATTGTTTTGCGTGTTTTTTTGCGTTTTTTTTTCTAATAATTGAAGGAGAAGACCTAATGGATTTCTATCTTTCCTTGTCTCAATGAGAGCGAATGAGGTTGAGAAAGAGAAAGAGAGAGAGAGAGAGAGAGAGAGACCGATAGATAGACCGACAGGCAGACAGACAGATAAAAAGGAAAAAAATTAAAGAATAGGCGAAAGATACCGATAGACAGGCATAAGAGAGACAGAGAAAGAAAATTATTTCCTTTGCCCGTAGTGCATTGTTGTGTCTTCTGTCATTTCTCTTTCTTCCTCGCTAATCTGTGTTTTGCTTCGTCTCCTCTTTCCGCATTTAACTTTACTTCTTCCTCACTACTCCCTATTCATCCCCCCTCCTTCCCTTCCTCTTTCCCTTTCTGCTCCTCCATCTTACCATGTTATATCCTATCTACTCTCCTTCCTCCACTTTTTTCCTTCCTTCACTCCTTCGCTCTCTTTCTATTCCCTCTTCTTCCTGTCACTATATTAAATATTTCAAGTTGGTAGGGCCTCGGAACTACCATGCATTTTGTTTTCTTGCTGCTGACATCGCGGCCAAGGTGTCCTCTGACCGTTTTTGAGGGTCATTTACAGCTGTGACCATGAGAACTGTATCATCTACATAACGATGGTTATTGATCTTGCAACCATTGATAATGATTCGGGAAATAGGGAATCGTTATCAATGTTTGCGACCTTCAATATAAATTCAAGTCAGGTGACATCACACAACCTTGTCGGACACCTCGATTGATGGGGAACATAGTTAATTGTTCCATCGAATAGGCGGGCAGCAGCAACTGATCTCGGCAGACTGACTGTCATTTATCAGGATAGTTGTTTAACTGCTGTTTAATAATCAATAAAAACTAGGTAGATGTTTTGCTGGTGTTGGATGGCTCTCTCGGCAAGCCTTTTCATGATGAACCTAGCATTCTTCATACCTTTATCCTTCAAAAATCCAAACTGGGTCTCTGGTATCACAGGTAGGAGTTGTCTTCTGATCCTCTGTAGGATGATTTTCAGTAGAGTTTTAGGAATATGCGACTTTTGAACAAATGTACGATGTTGCGGGAGCTCAAGTGTTCCTGGGACCTTCGGTGGGTCAGTGAATACTGATTTTATCTTTAGGCAACTTACCTGTTACATAAATATCATTTAGGAAGTTCCGGTTGAGATCAATTCCTTTTTATCCTAAGGACCCGCAGCTTCTCCAGATTTCATTTGCTGTCGGGACCAAGGCACTTCTGATTTCAGAATTGGTGGACCAGATGTCATAGCTTCTAGGACTAAATCTTCTGGCTCTTGCTCATCGTTTAAAAGTTCTTGAACATGCTCTTCCCAACGAGCACTAGCATCCTTGGTCTCGTGGAGAATGCGGCCGTCTGATGCCTTGATGCAATTTGAGGAGGAACAGGATCGCTGGCCAGTGATCTCTTTTAT